GAGTGGACGTGACTCTGATGGGCTAAAAAAAAAAAATTAGCAAAAATAACTTTTTTTCTTCAGTTTGGAAAATGGCTTTACACATCCCGAATGCTGTAGTTAAGCTTTTGAGTACAGAAGTGAGAGGTTTGGGATTTTGCTAGAAATAGCTTTAATGGTAGGAGATCCATTGCTCACACTCCAGTGTGGCACAAGAGGGGCTGCCCCTGCTCAGTTCACTCACTCCCCCAGTGCTGCAGCGAGTGTTGCTTCGACTGGAAATAGATGGAGGAGTTCAGGGAGGGAGGATCGTTACCACCATTTGCAAAGTTGGCTGCAGTATTTTTTTTCCCTGTCATAAACTGTTGTGAATTTGAAAGGGCTGCTGGGTATTTCCTTCCCAGACATGGTAATGTTCAGTTGGCAAATGAAACAACCTTTTGTTCGGAAAGCTCTTTTGAGATGAAAGGCGTCAGCAAAGTTGTCGCTGTGTCTCCTGTGACTGCCTTGGTTGAGGAGCTGGACTGTGTGTTCCAAGTCTTTCTGATGCAGAGGCTCGAGTGCTTAGTCTGAGCCAATTTACTCATTCGTTAGCTCTTACTTTTTTGACTTTAATTGGCTTCCTACTGCATGTCAGATTGTATTTTCCTTCAGCTGGCGGATGTGGAGGCGACCTCCTTCTCCAGGCTGCTACGAGAACATGTTTTCTTATTAGAGAGAGCTGTCTAGTGCAGGCTGGAGGAAGCACCTTGTGAAAGAGAGTGCTGAAGCACAAGTGTGCTCTTTGCAACAATAATACGTTCTCAGCCTTGTGGACGGCTCCACAGATTACTTTTCATCTTGTCCTTTCGTAAGTGATACGTAGATGCAAAATGTATATGAAAATGAAGCTCCTAGAAGACTTTCCAAATGTCCCCAGTGCAAGGGGAAATCCTTAACCAGCCCTTTCCTTGAGTTTTGTAGCTTGTTGAGAGTTTAAACATCTACCTGTTCTGTAGGTCCTGCACAATTTTGCTGCCTTGTTTTCTTGGTTATCCTAAAAATGACAGGTTACTATTTATACTCGGATTAACTTCACAACCCATCTATTCAATCATCTGCTTTCCTTGTTCTCCTTTTGGAAGGATTTCATTTAATGCCAGCAGGGTGATGGTGCATCTGGGTGGTGGGTCAAATTTATAAACCATTGCTAGGGAAAAAATACTATCTCAAAGCTGCCTTGGCTATGTCTGAACTGTCTTGCCCCTGTTTTACTAATATGGTAGACCCCTCTGTGTTATTATTCTACCTTGAGCCACACTTTGTCCATGTTTCTGGTGAAGTATTTCATGCATTCCCGTGGGAGAATCCTCTAATCAAGTGCTTGACGAATACCCACGAGGGCTCTGTGGTTGTCTTACATTTGTGTGTTTCTGGCCCAGCCCTGCAAAAGGACCAGTGTTGCCTGGTAGTGCTGTCACCTGTTTCACAAACCCAAGGAATATGTCCCATGCCTTGTGTTTGTGTGCTGTCCTCCTTGCAGGGGCTCCATTACCTTTTGTTTTGGAAAACAGTTCTTTGCAATTTTGTCTGGTGGACAGGTAACTCAATAAAAATAAAATTTTGTATTTAATAGTTAACCTTGGGCTTTAGAAAATTTAATGTCCAACACCAACTCAGATCCAATTACTGAGTTCTCACTAAATTCACATCTTTGGTGGGATCAGTGATACTGAGAAATACAGATTTGTCAAAGTTCTGTTGTTTTCTGTCACTAGCGTATACATTGTTTTGTCTTCCTCCATCTGTTTCTATAGTTAAATGGGATTCAGATGAATTCATCAAGAACCTGTCTCTTTATATTAACAGTGAAATATATTTGGTGTCATGAAAAATAAATGTTTCCAACAAATTTACGTAGTTTTGAGCTCTTGTATCATGATTGCTCTGGGAAGATGAGGGGGTGTATGTAATTAACACAAGACTCTGTAAGAATAAAATATTTGCAAAAGCTCCTCACTTATCTGCCAGAGTAGTATGGAGCTCACCTTTTGCCAAGATCAGTGTTTGTAGCTACTTCTGTCACAGTTACATGAAATGTTAATCCCTAATGCACGGCAAAGGACACCTTGTTTAGTCTCTAGGCATAGCCTTGCTGCAGGACCAAAGGCAGAACCTTGAATTCACAGCCTGCTGGGTCACTTAGAAATGCAGCTTACCCTTGGAGTGCCTGTCCTGTGCACACTCCTCCTCACTGTGGGAAGGGCAGAGTAGCTGCTCTGCAGGAAGTTCTCAATCTTGGTGATGTTGCCTCTGCTCCTGCCTTACCAGAATCCTGATTTATCTTGGCAATAATAAATACTATTGTTTGGAAAGTATAAAATTCTGTTACACCTCATTCCTCTTCTCTCCTGCAGTCTGTTCCACTGCCTTCCTTCCAGCCCTGGGTTAAGCAGGAATTGCTTGTGAGACTGTGCTGTGGGGAGGGGGATAGTCATGGCTTTACAGATCTGGTGAGGACTCCCTGTGCTCCTGTCTTTCACTTTGGTTTGCCTTTTCGTAGGAAGGTGCTAATCACCCCCTACCTTCATTTAGTGTCAAAGGGTCTTTAGTGACCTTGGAAGAAGAGAAACTGAGCTGTCGGTGCTAATCTCAAACACAAATGCGCAGCCCTTGCCACATTAGTCATGCCTTTGTCACCTCTAGATTGGATTAGTGCAGTGCAGGGTATGTGGGTCTGCAGCTGAAGACACATGCAGAACAGTGTTGTCTGCTTGTTTTAGTGTCACCAGAGAGTATTTTCTAGAGAGATGTCAGTGCTTGAAGAGTGCCCTCAGTCGGGATCCTGAGCTGACTTCTCACAGTGGTTTGCTGGAAGCTGGTTTGGCTGTCAGGCTTTAAAGCTTACCTGCTGCTGTTACTGCTTTCTGTAAGAGGATAAGTTGAAGGATTGAATGCAACTTAAGACTTTGTGAGGAAGTGTATCAGAGCCCTGTAGCTTGCTTTATTTTTTGTTGATTGTTTTTCTCTGTGGATGATTTTAGGATTTTAGCATGGTGCTTGGGTTAGGAGATGTGTCCTTGAAGACATCTGTCTGTGGAACAGTACATTGTCAGTGGAGGTTTTCCTCTCCAATGCACATGTGAATGGTGCAGCAAAGTCCAGCTTCCTTATTAGGACTAGTCAATCACTTGATCAGGTATATAAAAACAGTCTTCTGGGAGGGATAGAAGGGGTAGGAGATTAACCCCAGTCTGCATTACAAATAAGTTTAATGAAGTACTAATGTTGAATACAGAAGGTCATGGCAGTGAGGAAATTGGACTATTATGACTGAGCCGGTACACGTGAACAGCCTGCAAAGCAAAGAGCATGGTTAGAGTTCTGAACGGGGCAGTTTTAGTCTTTGGTTCAACTGTTTGCTGAACTATAACTGCAAATAAAATCACACTTTTTCTCTTGCAGTCATGCTAAGTGTGTACAGCTGCTTTTGTAGTTTTTAAATGCCCACAGAAATGTTATTCTTTAACACATCGTTCTCCACACTGCTCTGGAGTGGGCAAGCTGTGCTTTATAGCAGGTTCCCCAGTGGGGGTTTCTGTTCACAAGACTCTTTTGCCCACACTTGGACACCCATTGGCATGATGAGCCTAAGCCAGCAAGTGGAGTCCTAATCTACAGCAAGAAGATGTGCAGAGTGATAGGAGGGAAAGGCTCAGCAAATATATTGGTGTTCGTGTCACTAGCTGGTGGCTTTCCCCATGGACTTGGTGAATTGTAGCAGATGTGGAATGCTGTACTCTGTGTGTTAGGGGGTTGTTTGTTTAAATTTGTCTTTTCCTCTGCAGTATTTCAGAGCAATTTTTTGGTCCAATTGCTTTTGTTGTTGTTAGATGTCTTCTTGGTTGTATCAAGAGCTGTCTTTCAGTGTTCTGGCTTCTGTTCTACCTGGCTGTTAAAATATTTTGCTATGGATATGGATGTGGTGGGATGCTGTAAGCTGTTTGTGTTTGGAGGCTGAGTTTAGTAGTACTCATCTTTTAAGAGATTTCTCTGGTTGGAACTATGAATCAAAGCAGTTTGCTCTTTGGAGAAGTAAGGACCTGCCAAAATCCATGTGCAGCTGCTGGGGTTATTCTCCGGACTACAGAGCCAAATCAACCAGAAGAGTCTCTTGCTGTGTCTCTGCCAGGTCCTCTGGCTTGTTTAAGTGGTTCACACTTCTGCCTGGAGCATAAAATTCTGCTTTGCCAGCTTCTGTAGAAAACTGCTGTTGTCCTTTCCTTCTGGTGAGACGGTCCCAGAAAACACAGTCTGGGCACTGTGTGTTCCTCTGCTTTGGAGGCAGCCTGCTCTGCTCATGCTCCCAGCTTCTGGGCCTTCACCAGAGAGCAAACTTGTGGTTGCAGAAATCCACTCAAGCAAACTGTGTCCGTTATAATCAGTTCTTCCTTTTGAATCAATTTGGAGGGCAAGGAATCTCACCTGTGTTTGAGAAGCCATGACCCTTTAGGGCAGCTGTGACTATACTCATTTTGGGAGAACGTCACCTTAAAATTCTCATAGCCCTCAATCTACGGGAGAATTAATTTCCTACTTCAGACTCTCTAGTGGTATCAGCAGAAGTCTTATAAAAATTCCTGATTAGATTATGCCCTCATTGTAGTAATGAAAACCACTTATTAGTGTTGTATAGACATCTTATGTACCACTTGCCTTGTAGAGAAACAGAGAAACTGTTATCCATTGGATCTATGGCTAATTCTCTTCTTTTTTTTTTTCTCTTTACAGTTTTCTCTCAGTTAGTATTTTGTTGCCTCATGTGGTATTAGATAAGCAGCAAAAAAAAAAATTGCCCACACTAAAAATGGTGTGTTTAGAGGCTCCTTCTTCAGTGAGTTGAAATGTTAATGGGAATATTGCTCTTACTAGCTCTTGCTTTCTGCAGAGTGGGATGCCCAACCTTGGCATGTTTAATTTTTGGTGTTTTCCTGGTTGAAGCCTATCCTTAACTGTGCCCTATTCTCCATTCTCCTGGCCAGCTTTCTGCAGAGGGCGCATTGTGAGAGTGCCCAAAGGTCCCCTCATTCGAGTGGTGGGCACGGAGGTGGCGATCCCGTGCAGCGTTAGCGACTATGACGGCCCCAGCGAGCAGAACTTTGACTGGGAGTTCTCCCGGGACACTGACTTCGTGCGGATAGTGAGTACCTGGGATTCTACCTTCACCTCTGAGGAGTACCAAAAACGCGTGGGCCGCGGGGATATCAAACTGAGACGGAGCAGCAACGATGCTGTGGAACTTGTGATTAGGAACATCCAGCCAGCTGACCAAGGGAGATACAAATGTTCCACGCCCAGCACTGATGCCACCGTTCAGGGAAATTATGATGCAGAGGTCCAAGTGAAAGGTATTTCTGAAGAGTGAGGTGTGCTTTAAATTTGTTTTTGATATTGATTATAGATGTACCCTTAAGAATGTTGATTTTCTGTTGTTTATCATCATTGTGATTTTTCGTTTCTTTTCTTCTTCTTCTTATTGCTCTGTAATTCTCCTAAAGCCAGAATTTAAAATTGGGAAATATGATAGCAAAGGCAAGTGAGGTGAAGAAGTGAAGAGAGGCTGTTTACTATAAGCACCACTTTTTTTTTCTGTCTAGTAAATATGTAAATAAAACACTAAGTGGTGGGTTTTCTGAAGATGTCTGCAAATATTTCATGTCCCTAATCCTCTTGGTAGAGAAGCTACATTCAGGTAAAAACCACAGGCTGCCTTCTCTCTCAGTTTTAGTGTCATTTAGGGATCTCTCTGTATGAAGGAGGTAATCTTCCTTTTCTCTTTTATAGCATGTTGATACTACAGTCTTGTCCTAGCTTTGCTCTATCACTTAGCATTTTTCAGTATTAAATTTGGACACTATTTCTTTTCCCATATCTTATTTTTTATTCACATGAATATCAAGATTAGTTTTGTATGGGAATAGTCAAAAAGATGATGTTTGGATGAGAAACTAAAGTGAGTGGAAGGATAAATGAATTCTTGTCTTGTCTTGTTTAAAGCAGAGCACTTCCTTTAGTGCTTTTTCAGCTGAATTTCCTTCTTCCTGGAATATATTTATGTGTGGGAGAAGGAATGATTGGCAAGGTGTTGCTCTGTGGTGGTTTTATTGCCTCACATCTGAACAGCTCACCGTGGGTGTTCTCTACTTGATTGTTTTGTGATGCTTGTATCGTTTGGGGTTTTTTTTTCCCCCTAATAGTGATTTCCGACGGCTTGTCCGTGAGCGGTTCCAAAGCTCGTTCCTCGACATCCCTCCGGCTGTCTGAGGGTGACTCCTTCAAGCTGCGCTGCTCAGCCACCACCACCTCTCCGGAGCACACTCACCTGCACGTCACCTGGCAGGTCAGGAGCGGCTCCTCTTGGCGGGACGTCCTGTCTTTGACTCACGAGGGCAAGTTCCAGCCGGGCCCCGGCTACGAGGAGCGCTACCGCAGCGGGGACATCCGCCTGGACACGGGAGCCAACGACACGTACCGGCTCTCCGTGTCCCAGGCCTCCTCCGCGGACGGCGGGGCCTACCGCTGCCTCGTGAGCGAGTGGGTGAGAGGGGCGGACGGCTCGTGGCAGAAGATCCAGGAGAAGAGCGTGGAGATCGCCACTGTGTCCATCCAGAGGACCGGTGAGTGCTCCTGGTGGGCTGCGGTCACGGTGCTGTGTCCAGGCTGTTGGGAAGGATGAAAGCTTGACAAGAAAGTCTCACAGATACGTATGCTTAGCAGAAAGATTTTTAAATGTAGAGTCTGATGAAGGAATAGAGATGGAAGCAAGTTTTGATATAGAAGAAAAGAATTGCTGAGCCGGTCTGACTGGCTAACCAAGAAGGCAAAGGGTGTGTTAGTTAGAAGGGGTTTTTATGATTTAGAGCAAAGGATAAACCCACCTCAAACAGGATGATGTTTTTACCAAGCAGAAAGATAGCACAGGCAAACAAGTCAGCCAAGTTGCAAGTAGAAAAAAGGTCTCAGAATTTTCCACTGCAAGAAAACTGAAAAACCATTTCTAGCTTTAACTGTAATGTACTAACTTTTAGTGATTGGAAAATAGTAACATGAATATGGTAATTATAGTAGTTATGATAGGCTATAGATAATAGTTAAGGTATAGATTGGTTCTACTGTATTAAGATGCTCAGCAAAGAAAAGTATGTAATCCACTGTAACCAAAACCAAAGGGTCTCCAGGCCTGCCTGCAGCTGGAGCTGACAGCTTAGGCACAGGCTCTGTCACCCACAACCCTGGACTGCTGTAACCTCTTGGATGGAATAAACTGCATTTTGGAGAGCTGCCTGGAGTCCCGCATCTCTCATTTAGGCTCTTACACCAGGCTCTGGTGCTTTGGGGTCACTGAACGAAGTGAGGGTGCATTCCAGCAGAATCTGGAGTGCTGTTTGGATAGCTGGCCTGTTGTGAAAAATGCCAGTCACTTGTTTTTAAAATTTTAAAAGTTTAATAGTAATAAAATGGTTATTAAAAATAGTAATACAATTAGAGTAATAACAATTTGGACAAATTTAATTAGGACAATATGAGACAATAAATACAAAGAGTTACGGACGTCCGGGTACCTTTTTCTGGGCAGCACGAGCCATGAAAGGGACACACACATAAACAAAGAATTAACCCTTAAAAACAATAGCCTGTTGCATATTCATACACCTCATACATGATGCATAAATTCCATTCAGACACAGGATTCTGTCTGGTCAGGGTCAGCTTCTTCCTCCGAATCCTAACAGCGCCTTCGAGGTGGAAGAAGTTCGTTTCTCCTGATAAAAGGGAAATAAATTCTCTTTCTCTGAAAGATTGAGGTGTCCTGTGGCTGCTATCTCGCTGCGAGTCCTTTCTTTAAAAAAAGTCTCCTACATAGCATGGTTTCTATTTTAACATTTTTTATAACCTAAAACTATATTTAACACAATACTTAAGAGAATTAATACAGCATTACTTTCTAGCACAACACATATAATATTCATTTTAATATTTGCGAAAAGCCAATCATAAAATACATACATTTTTCACGCCTGTTAAATCTGTGACATAATTTTTCTAGCTTTATTTTGGAGAAAAGGGCATGGAATGATATCCTGGAACCTCTTAGAAGCCTAGATGCAGATTTTATCTCATCCTTCATTCACTTCAGAGGGCTCATGGTTTTTTATATATTTTTTTAATATTTCTTAAATAAACATTATATTTAACACCTGGTCCCCCAAAGCCTTCCCTCTGCTCTGTTATTAACACAGGGTTCCATAGCACTAAACAGCTGCACTTCCCCTGTGCAAATGGCTTGTGATTCAGTGATAGATGTGGAGCTCTTCTGTATGCTGTTTATTAAAATAGTGTGGAAAGATCAAGAGAAAAGAGGAAGGCAGTGATAATTTAACAGGGCAAATTACCCAATGATTTTTTATCACTGGTCTGATTGCTCTGTTGGCAGGGGTCTAGGACAGTAATGGTTCTGTTAAACATATCATTGCATGCTTGGCTAAGGAGACAAAAATACATGCAGAGCTGTGCTGAGCATATCCAGATATCCCTGCCCATAGAGATTTCAGGACTATATGCACTAAGCACTTCACTGCATCAGCATTCTCACTGCTGGTTGGAGGAGGGAGAGCGAGGATGATACACCTTATCACTCAATAGGTGGAAAAACAGGCAGTGATGGTCCCTCAGAAATATGAGATTATCACAGTATTTTAGAACTGTTCAGACAGGAAGGGTACCTTTTTATTTTTGTAATCCTTTAATCACTATAGGGAGAACTCAAAAGTCTGGGTTTTTTTTATTCTCTCATTTGGATGTAGTTTTAGTGTCTTGGTGGTACTTAGCCTGTGAAATTTTACTGGATCAACCTGCACCCTCTTTTTGAGGGTGTCTGTTGCACAGCTAAGCTTGCAGGTGCTCTCTGCTGACACAGGACTTGCCTAATTAAGAGCTGTAATTGTCGATTTTGTCACACTTTTGCAGTGTTTGGTTTAAGTAGGTGGGGTTTAATCAGTGGCTGAAAACAGCATGTGGCTGGCCAAGACCAGCAGTGGTACAGTTTTTTGATGTGGTTTGGGTGTGTGGTTTGTTTCTTGTGGGGGATTTTGTTTGTTTTTCTTTGGGTTTTTTTGCCTTCATTTTAAACTCAGTCATTAGCAGCACTGGCACTTTGTCAGGGGCATGAAGGTTTTTTAAAGTTATGCTAAAGGGGATAGGTTATTCTCCAGCAAAATGCAGAATACACATCTCGTAGAAGGACTTGAAGAGCATCTTGTGCTGACATCTGAAATCTCTGCACTTGCATGCTAAAAGAACTTGAGATGTAAATGGTTATATGCCTATGGGTAAACTTTCTCCAAGTCCCTCTAGGTGCATATATTGCCAGATTGTGAATGCCCATCACTTTCATGAAGACAGAAATGTTGCTTGGAGAATTGCTGCTCTTAATCTTGCAGATGAGTCTTAGTTTGTATTCTGGTATTAGCCTGTTAAATTAGCTAGGTTTTCCTACTGATTTTAATCCCATAATAAGACAGTGAGGCAAGTCCCAGTGAGAGATTCATCTGGACTTGATTTCAGCACTCAGGTGGGGCTTGCTACCCTCTGCCCAGTTTGACTGCTCTGTGTTATCAGGTGGTGAGGGGTGAGAATGAGCCTTGCTTGGTTTCATTGGCAATAGTTCTGACTACTCAGTTTGGCTCTAGCCTTCATGTGTTGTCTCATTCCAGATGATAGTCCAAGGAAGTTTATGCAGATGGGGAGCTATTATATAGTAGAACATGGTTTTACACAGAAGTCGCTAATCTCAGCAGAGACACAGCTGCTGGTTTAAAGCAGGTATTTCTATTCTTGCTTGTGCTGAGAAGAGCCACTGCTGTAGCAGCCCTGTCCACTGGCCTCAGTGGAGACTTCAGGAGCAGCTGCATTACACACTGTGGGAATGGTGCTGCACTGAGACCCAGATCTAATCTTCAGGCAGTGTAGAATGAGTGAATGAGCAAGTGAAGACACGTGGTAGCCTGGTCTTGACACTGTGCTTCCATGGTTTTCTTTTTAATATTCTGTATCTAGTCCTATTTGAATGCTGGCTGTGACCATATGTGATATGTATATTAGAAGTACTCACAGGCCAGTGGTTGCTGAGTGTGTTTGGAGTGGCTGTTGGTGTTGCTTTGAAGTCCCCAATGTGTGTTGGAGTTACTGCTGCCTTCTGTTTGCCTCCATTTCATGTTTTTGCAGCACACCTGAGGTCAGTCAGGACTCCAGTGTGTGGCCATGGCTGCTTCTCATCTAAATCTGCCCTGTTTGAGCTCAAAAATGTCAGCAGAAGCCATGTTGAGTTCCAATGTAGTTCCTAGTGATTTCTGTAAATGCTTGGTCTTCTGAGGCATAGTCCCAAAACATTTTGACCCTCCTGTGAGACTGAAAAATTCTGTACACATTTTCCTGCTGTGGAAAGGTGATGTGCAGTCTGTGGATGAGACAAAGCCTTCATGGACCAGTTGCTGTTGGGTTATAAAAATGCTGTTCTCCCTCCCTTTCTCCCCTCTGCCCTCATCTCACATCCCTTGCTTGACTGATAATGTGTATTGCCCTTGTAATAGATCACTCGGCTCAATATCCAATAGGCATTTGAAGGTTGGGCTACTGAGCCTCTTCAGAAGCTCCTGTTATAGAATGTGAGAGTGAACTATGTTTATTAAAAGTAACAAATAAAAAAAAATACTTTTTGTTTGAATTTTTGTGTCTCTCTTTCCAAGCTCTAGATGTGGTCATCTCAACCAGCAATGTGTCTGTGACCGAAAGAGACTCCCTGGATCTTACATGCAACATCACAACAGATAGAAGTGGTATTTTCCAAGCAGAGGTGATGTGGTATTTTTCTGCATCACCTGATGACACCTTGTCAGATGCTCAGCTGTTGCTGAGCATGGACCACGATTCTGTTGTCAGTGATTCAACTCTCATCAGCCTCAGCCATGTGGACAGGAACTCCTATCGCCTCTTGGTGCGTGACGTGGATGTGGAGGACTCTGGCTACTACTTCTGTGAAGCTGCTATCTGGGTGCCCCTGCACAATGGGAGCTGGCATAAGGTGGTGGAGAGGACCTCTGCACCAGTCAGTGTGGTGGTGACAGCGCTGGGTGAGTGATTGTGCTGTCAGACTTCATGGGTAATGTATCCCTCAATCCTTGGCCCCGTCAGAAAAGGGAGAGGACCTTGCAGAATCTCTTCTGCACAAATGTTTCTCTTGTTTGCATCTATTATCTATATGTAGGCATCTCTCTCACATATATTTCTCTTTATGCAAATATCCTTAGAAGCAAAGTTACCTGGGAGAATTACTAAAAATTAAACTCCAGTAAAACTTCTTAAAAAGCCTGTTGTTTTACAGATAGGCCTAGATATGTCAGCCTACCCAATCTGTTCTCTCGTTTATTCTTGAGGAGATAATAGCTTCAATTTAGAGCCAGTGAAACTCAGGATGTTGTTGCAGAATGGTGTAGGTAAGGTATGTGCACCTGCTAAATTGTGCAAGGTATTGGTGGTATTGGAAGCATGAATGAAGCTGGATGTGAACTGGCAGAGCTGTAGTGCTTGGTGCTCGTTCCCAGCTCTGACTGGAAGCAAGCATCCAGGCCCAAACCCTTTCAATGTACCCTTTCAGATCCTCTTGTCATGAGAAACTGGTGGTACTATCCAGTTACAAAGGCAGAACTCCCCCAACATGAAAGTGCTGAATGAGGCTAGCATATAGAGAGCCTGTTTTTCAGCAATAAATAGCTGTGCCATAAGGTTAAATCCCATCAACAATGACTTTAAATGTTGCATTTTAGCATTGTGCAGAGCAGCTGAGCCGTGGCAGTCCCCAAGTACACTTGTAATGTGTACTAAAGTGCACAAGTGATTAATGTCTTCATTTCCTGTCCTCATTCAGCCATTCACATTGCACATTTAACTTGTCAGTGTTCCCTCCTTTCCCCACTTGTGTGCATGTGCAGTCATGTACATGTGTCCGTGTGTGTACAGATGCACTTGCACATGTGTGTGCTTTCTTTTTGTGCCTCTACCTGTAGGACTTCTCTTTACTCTTTCCATTCTAATTTAGCATTATTTGGGAACTGGAGAAAATAAAATCTGCTTTTCAGCAGATGCAGATGCTTGGTTGCTAAGGAGAGGGAAAGCAGAATAAATTTTCAGTGTTTGAGGTTTTCAACTGCATCCAGAATTTACCAACTCTTCCTCCTTAATGGAAGTTAAGAGCTCCTGGAGTATTAAGTCGTTGAATTGTCAGTGAGGCTATTCTTTGACAGCTGACAGAGTGGAGGAATGAGGTTTATCCAGCCAGCCTTTTATTCTTTCTAAATCCTCTGTTAGAGTGTCTGTCAGGGTGAAGCGCCTATCTGGAGTGGTGCTATCAAAGAGAAACTCTCTTCTTAGGGTCCTTCCCCTGCCCACAAATAAAACAAACCTCAAGTGATTTTCTGAGAACTTGGGATTCTTGTGGCTTTCTCCTTCTTGTGCCCCTGTCTAGAGAAGTGCATCTGCTTTCTCTTTGTTGCTATGAAGATATTAGTTGGTCTTGAATGCCTTCTTTTTAAGGGGAAGGCGTGGCAAAGGGGGAATGGTAAGAGAGTTGTAGAGTGTGAGCAATACATCATGAGGCCCTGGAGTAAACTACTCTTATGTGAATGAGAAAAGAAGAGCAGTATAGCTATAGGGTCTAAGAGGCCTTACACCAAAATTGGGGTTTGGCCATCTTTAATAATCTGTGCTTTGGTTGTAGCAAAATTCTGTGCATTTTCTTTTTATTTTGTCTTGCCCTGAAAAAGTGCAGAAATCTCCACATGCTCACTGGTAGTAGGTACCACAGTCTTTGTAAGCAGTGCTTTTATGATTTTATGTTGCCTAGTGTCACAGAAACTCCCCACCAGTATTACCAGATTCTCTGGGGTCTGGTGTGTATTGCTGCCCTTGTTCTTGCTGGATGCAAGGACACTGGTGAGAGATCTTTTCTGCAGGCTGACATAGAAGCAGCAGAATTGTAGCTACAATTGTTTTTATCCTTTGCATCTCAAGTCCAAAAGTGCACATGCACACAGAGTTTCCACAGCAGTTCTATTAAGATGCTTTATTATCATGGCTTGTTGGTGAGCTAAGCCTAAGTTTTAGCCTTGGATTGCCTTCTTTGTCCCAATTATAGCTTCAGTTAATTGTTTCTAGGAGGGCAAAATGCCAAGTAAAACATAAAGCAGGAAATAAATACGGAGTGCTGAATACAGTTAGGCTGTAAAAGCCGTGTGATGAGTATTGGCCGAACAGTTGGGAAGCTGGTCATTTTTCTGAATTATAGTAGACAGCAAGACAAAAAAATTCTAATACTAGTAAATAAATATGTATTTCCTTTGTGGTGTGAGGTTCTTGCTATAATCTTTTTCCTTTACTATCTCTGTAGTCTGAGAGAAAATAGTCATGCGGCTCCCTTATCGCTTTTAGGCTTTGGGCAGCCAGCTATTTCAGATTTAAATACAACAGCCCCATTCTTAACCCGTGAAACTCAGGCACTGATTTTCCAGCCTGAGGTATTCCAGCCTCACAGCTGCACAGCACATACTTCTCTATTCAGACTGTGAAGCTTTTTTCTGATCTACACATCTTCAACTCTTATCCTACCTAGTATTTATTGACCTAGGTAGTATTTAAACTGCTGAGCTCTGAAATTTACTGTGCTCAGCTCTTGGTGCTGCCTCTGGCCAGTGCCAGTGGTGTTCTGTGTCCCCTGGTTTGGGTGAACTGTTTGGCTGTTTCTTACCATTCTTAAACTGTTGTAGAGACACAATGGGATGGTTAAGTGTGGAAAATAAGGCATTTCAAGATGGGAGATGGCCTCTTATTCTGGAGAGATATTGGGAAAACGGGATGGCTCTGGTGAGTCCAAAGCTAGAGGATAACCAGTGTCCTGCTGCAGGCTGCCCCAAGCATTTGGCAGATGCAAAAGTGTCTGGCTGTGTTGAAATTGAACCCACAGGTGGGTTCTTGGGGGCAGGCCTAAAGGAGGGAATTATTTTGCTCAACAAGATCTATTAGTCCTGATTTTTCTGAAATGGTCCGACTAGACCTATGAAATGGAGCGTCTTGTTTGGAAATGCAGGCTTAGGGGTACCTGTGTCGGAGAGGTGCAAGTCTGATAACCAAAGTTCCAAGGTTTTGTAAGAAAAATGCGTATCGTGGCACTCAGCTTGGATGCTAAAACTGGATGTTAGAAGTTAGTATATCTTTTGATTGTCTGATGTTTTCTCCCTTCTTGTAGCTCCTAACCTGTTTCTTCTGCATTTCCTCTCCTGCAGAGCCAGACTATGACGTGTACCTGAATGCCTCTAAAACACCCAAGTTTTCAGATGACCCCACAGAGCTCAACTGCAGGATCACAAATGTCCAGGACACCGAGGCAAACATCCGCTTCACCGTGTCCTGGTACTACAGGCAGCGCCTGCCCGGTGACGACGTGGTGCCAGAGGAGCTCCTGGCTTCCATGGATGCAGACTGGGCTCTGCTGCCTGGGGACAGGGGCAGAGAGCGGATTCAGAACGGGGAAATCATCTTGTCTAAAAAGTCTGCTGACACCTTCAGTTTGAGAATCCAGTGGACTTCAGAGAGTGACAGAGGGGATTATTTCTGTGTCATCTCGGCGTGGAGTAGGCACCGTAACAACAGCTGGGTGAAGAGCAAAGATGTGGCTTCTGCATCTGTCAACATTTTCTGGGCTACACAAGGTAGGAACTTTACACCTGGATGGCTGAGAGTAGGCTTGTCAGCCAGAAGGCCTGCTAATGGGCTTTGGAAATGGGGTTCTGTGTTGATGAAGGTTTAAAAGCACTGTCAACTTGTGTAAAGGCCTCTTATCTGTGGAGGGGAACTGCTTTACATTACTCCTTTATTTTTCATCACTACCGCTGTTACGCAACAGTTTGGAGTGGAAGTACAAAGGAAGAGACACCATCAAAGGAGAATTTCCATCAAGCTGCTGAGACTTCCAGGAGCTGGGCTGGAAGTGGCAGGGGTGGCATCCAGCAGTGTTGCTGCTATGGTCATTGCCCACTTTTGTGGCTTGGAGTGTTTTGGTCTCTTTAGGGTGCATCTTGCTGCTAACAATAGGGTAGTACTGAGGTGAAAAGAGGAATGTCACTTTGTCTTCCCTGTCTGACAGTTTGGGAGCTGTGGTTTTATTTTTCTCTTGTACAAGCCCATGTTTAAAAGGCATATCTGAGGAAGTTCATGGGCATAGTACTACCAGAGTATCAAAAAATAAATGGGTAGCTGAACAAAGTAATTCCGTGGTTTGCTTGGATCTTGACCTTTTTTTTAGGGAAAAGTAAACTAGCTCTGGTCAGTATTTAACTTCTTCTGGGAGCATTTTTAGAAGCTTAATAGTTACCTGAAGTTGCTTAACTCTGGTTTAAAATGGGATCTGTGTTTCCTGGATGTGCTGTAGAGTGGTACTGTTTTTGGCTCAGAGTGAAGTCTTGCAAGAGGGGTCTGTTGGAGAGCATCAGAAAGGGATGCAATGTCTTTGTCAAAAATCTGTGTTGAGCTAAGCTGCATTTATCTTGATAGACTAGTTTAACAGTATAGCTTAGGCATCCACAGGCAGAGAACTATATTTCAGAGACAAGCAATTTGAAATAATTTTGAAGTTGTTTAGGGATAATCCCTGAACAGCAAATTGGAAATCTTCTCCTGTGATTCTGCTTCAGTGGAGACAGAAGTGGTGCTCAATACTACACGTGTGGTCCAGGGAAAGGTTTGCGGGGTTTTTTTGTGTTTTTTCATTTGTATTTTTTTTTTACCCCTGAAGCTGACTTCTCCAGCAGGACTGAGAAGTCTCATTAATGCTGGATGTTGGTCACAATTAGTTCAGTGTTATGCCACAACACGGAGTGTGTGCATGTGCATGCCAGTGTAATGGATCGTCGCCTTCAGAGCAGCTACAGAGACCAGCTGGAGTTGAAAAGTCTCAGCCTGTGTTGACATTTCTGAGGGAAAACAAACCGTGACAGGTGTGAACATTCCCTTGGTTCTGGTTTTGTTCCAGAAACTCTGCTAATTTTGCAGCACAAATGTAAATGTTGTAGTCCCTGTGCTGAAAAGTACGTTCTGTTGGCAAAGCTCGGGGTTGGGGGATTTATTATGTGAAAGTGAGCTCTCCTCTGAAACCTTCCCCTCCTGAAAAAGAATGTTGTATGTATATGAGGTGGGGAGGGTGAAATACAGGTTTGATTTCCCCTTCTCTACCCCCCTCAACTCCCCCTTCAGCAGTGCAGCCCCAGATGCCTCTCCCTGTGTGCCCTGTCCCCTGCCACATCCTATTCCTGTGAGCTGCACACTCGGCTGCTGGGAGCCCAGTGCTGTAGCCAGCAGCTATGAAGGAGTTAATCTGCTGCTGCCTGTGCTCTCTGACTGTTGTTTTGACAAGTATCTCTGGTGATTTGAGTCCCTAACTGCTCCCAGTGCTTATAAAAGCCAGCAGCCAGGCTCCCACGTGTTTGCCTAAGGAGAGAACAGAAATTTGCCTCTTCCTTGCATAGCTTATGCCTATACAGAGACTTTTCTTCCATCAATTTCATTGCTTGCATCTTCTTTGTTGATTTTAGAGCACTGCTTTGGGGGAGGATGTTGGAGAAATCTCACTTTGAAAACAATTGTTCTGAGTTCTTGAGAAAGGAGAAATGGGTTTATATTGTGTCTGTGGGTCTCTCAGCAAAGATGGGTGTTCAGAGCCTTTATTCAAAATGTAAACATCGTGTAAACATGTAAAAAACCCCTTTTTGTGCAGTGTATAATAAGTTGTGTGTTTGCCCATTTGAACTTGGGGTTTTATTGTCTCTGTTTTCTGTTTTATTCTATGGGGGCCAATAATGCTCACATCTTTCTGCTTACTCAGCTTTGCAAGTGCAGCCAATTGCTATCATAGATCACCATTGTTTTTGACATAGTCTGCCTGATATGTTTCTTCCCCCCTTCTACTTCCTCCCCTGCCAAGGTGACAAAGAAGGCATCTCTGTCTCATCTCAGAAACTAAAAATACCAGTTGTATTATGTTTTGCTTATTTAGAGTGCAAATTCCAGTCAGTGAAAAGGGGTGAAACATTTTTTAGCTCTGTAAATGATTTTCAACCCAGAAAAAAGTTTGATATTCTAAAGGATAATTATATTTATTTATTTGAATATGAGTTACATTTAGAACACAGATACTGCTAACATTGAAAAAAAGAAAATCAATGCTTTTTTCCTAAACCAGTGTTGTCAACTTTGGATCTGCATGGAGTACTTAGCAGAAGAAAACATCTTTTAATTGAAATTCCAAATCCCAAAGGTACTATTATTTGGGGTTTTGTTAATACTTCTGTCTTTAATTTACAAAATAATTATATTTAACATAATGTTACTTGTCCTAAATGTTTGCCTAGGCCCTCCCATCACACTTAATTGGGAGCAAGGGTGCCTTAATCTTTCAGACAGTCCTGCAAATAGAGAACAAATAATATTTCTGCCAGCTACTTTTATATATCATTGCTGATGTATACAGACACACAGTTCCCCCAAGGCACAGAGATGCCCATGGCACTAAGCTGGAGTGTGTGTGTGCCAGTTTGGCTGTAGGGACAGGGGTTCCTGCAGCCAGGTGTGTTCAGGTGCAGGCTGCAGTGCAGGCTTTGATGTGCCTGCTGTGCTTCCAGAGCTGCTGGGGCTGCAGTTGTACCTCGGGGTGTTGTACAGCCACCTCCTGCCATGGCAGAGCTGTCACTGCCTTAATGTCTGCTGCATTCCCTGCACTTGCAGCCTCATCGGTGCATGGGGGGATGGAGGGGCCTCTATGAACACCAAAATTCTTGTCAGCAGCCTCGAGCAGCGCTGTGAGGCTCCAGCATTGCTGTCAGCCCTGGCCAACGTGCTGCTTGTCCAGCTGGAGTCAAAGCAGTGCAGGGAAGGTGTTTGCTGTTTATTCTAAAGTCTTCTTGCCCTTTTAGCTGTTGGGCTTCTCTAGAAATTTGCCTGGTGCAGATTAGGTGAAAACTGGTTTTGGTCACTATTCTGGAAGTGCTCTTAAAGCTGAGCACACATTTTGTGGTGGAAGAGCAACAGGAGAATTACAGTGTGGCTTAACCACTTGGACTGGCCAGTGATGGAAGGCAGAAGCTTGCACTGCCAGGCTCCAAAGTACAGTTTACTCAAATTTTATTTGAGTCATTTGGCTAGGTTTTCTTCTGTTGCTAGCCCTCTGTCTTGGAGTAGTGCCCAGGCTTTGGGTATGGTTTACTTAGGAACTCTTCCTCTACTGCTTTCCAGAATAAACTGCAGATTGCAGCCTCCTGTATATGACCAAGCAGGGTGTGTTTTATTGTGCTTTTCATTCATGGAGCTTTACAAGAAGGAGATGAGACTCCACATGGGACTGCAGACATGTATGCAGACAGGCAAGTGTGTGGAGTAGTGGTCAAGACAGACATTGCTTCCTTGGCAATTCCCAAAAGATTAGAAATGAGACCATAGGCTGCAGTTCTTGGAAGAAAACATTCATTTAACCTCTCTGGTGCATCTTATGCTGCAAGATCTGATGAGTAATTTCTGCTAACATAGGAAACATGAAGAGACTTTCCTTTCCCTCTTATTTTTCTGTGCAGATTACTGTTATTTCTAAGATAAGTGCCAGATCTTTGGGCTGCCCTCTATTTCATAATGTGGACTCACACACACTGACAGCTACACGCTTTTCTAGGATGGGGTGAAGCAGTGCTAATTACATTTCATCTGCTGCTGCTGAAGGAGAACAATATTGGCACAGAACCAGCATATTAAGAATGGTGATCCAGGTTTTTCTAGTTGATAGGCTATGGAGCCTTTTTGTTGTTGTTGTTTTACTTTGCTACATATGCAGGTCTCTAATATTATGGCACATACAGAAACATCCCTTTGATCTTTTTTTGACTTTGTTGCAAAAAGAAATATTCAGCACCTGTATGTGATGGGTTGTGTATCCCCTTCTCTATTCTGTTCTAAATTTCTTATGGTCTAACACAAGAGGGGGTGCCTCTGCCTTGTGTGTTCATCCAAACTAATGATCTCAGGGGTTTTTAAAGGTAGAAAAATGTTTTAAGAGAACTTTCATAAGAACGTATCTCCTTGTTCTCTGTTCAGGATCCTAATTTCTAACCCTTCTGAACTCTATCACTGTTCTCCAGCTGCATCTCTGGGCCTCAGTTGTTCTCTTCCACAAACTCTACCAGTGGAATTTCTGCTGTTGTCCCATGCTGCCACCACTCCTTTCTCCTTTTCCTTTAGCAGAAATACTTAGGGAAAGGCATTTGCTATTGCCCTCAAATGGAAAACCAACAAAGGATGTCGAGGGACAAAATTTGCTCTGTCCTTATTGGGGACAACACACGGCCCTTTCTGCTGCTGTCTGACCTGTGGCTCAGGGAGTAGTGGAAGTTAAGGTGTTTGAAACTCAGGTAATAGGGAGAGTTATCTCAGCTGTAGCTGAACTGCTCTGGGCATGTGAGGGTGTTTAATCTTAAGCACATATACCAGAGACCAAAAGTAAGATTTCCTTTCTGGTGTCTAGGACCCAGTGTTCTTATGTGGAGATCAACAACATAAAGAACATTTAAGTAAGGAGGGATTTTTGCCCAGAGCCTCCTCATATGGCCTAGAAAGCAACAATATGTGCCAGAAAAGTATAACTAGCTGTTTGTGCTTCTGCTTTTGGGACAAAATATAATTGCCTACTATGTTCCTAAAAGTATGTGAAAAGCTGATCTGTGCTGGGCTCCTAAATACTGCAGGCATATGAAGAAGGAAATATCAGAGTCTCACAGACACAGAATGAGGACAAAAAAATGGATTTGAAGTCTGGAATCTGCTATCTAATGCGTCTTTTCACAAGGGAGAGTAGAATGACTCTGATGCTATACAACTTCATTTGTGATTGTACCCTGAGTGCCTAAATGTGCAACTCTTGTATTGTCACTTGCTTAGTGGGTGGAAGTGTGAGGGGGTTTGGTGTGGAGTATCAAATAATTCTGTGCTCAGCTAGACCACTAGAAGCATCTCAGCCTTCACTGCTCCTGCTGTTTCTTTATATAGCTTTGTACTGTGATCTGCTTTATACAGTACTGATTTAAAGTTGTCATACCGGGCTTCTCATCTTGTGGGCTGTGTTTACTCATTGTGAAAACTGCTGCTTGAAGGCAAAACACTGCAAAATGTAATCTTGACAAGTATCTTGTTGCTCTTGTGGGGAGGACATAAATATTACTGCATTTAAGTTCAGTTTTGGGAAATATGTTTCAATCTCACCATTGCTTATTTCCATGTTCCTGAGAAGTTTTGTCTTGCATAAAACGGTTCTGTGGAGTTCTTTAACAGGTCTACACTTTTTTTTTTTTTAAATAAAGGAGGGAAGGGAGAATATGGTGCAGCAAAGTAAGTCCAGAGAGTTGGATTGGCTATTTTTTGCAAGATGGTTACTTCTATGTATTCTGCCCCAGCCCCCCCTTCCTTAAGAAGAACCATGATGTACAGGGTGTCTTTTCATCACAATGCCAGGAAACTAGCAACTCCCTTTCCTTTTATCTGATTCTGATTTCAGTCACTCCTCATTTTCTCTGTTTCTCACTGTGAGCTTGTATTTTGTGTGTCTTGGAGCTGTGCTCTGACATGTATAATTTTCCCAAACCCTGTAATTAAGGGATTCTTGGGATTGAGGAGACAGTAGAGAATGGAAGGAAACTAAGCAGTAAGTGTTGCTGGAATTCTTGATGTCAAATAGGAAATGTCGAGACTTCTGGTAGGCTTGTATGCAAGTGAATGTATGAGAAGCAAGGGGAGGAAAGACTGACACGGAGGCAGAGGTGTGTGTAAATCTGTATGGGGGTGCCTGGGGTGGAGACGTCTGTTACACCAACTTTTGTCACGTGTTTTCAGCTGAATGTGTCTGGATTGCCGTTAGGAATGCCGTTAGGGTGGATTTTCAAGGGAAATAAAAGATGCTACGCTAAGTGCTGCCAATTTAGCAAGTGGCAGCTTTTGTCATTAGTCATGAGTATTTCAGCAGTGCCCTTATTACCCCGGCACTGAGGGTGCTCTTCCAGCGCCAGTATAAAACTGGGACTGAATCTGTCACAGACATCTTTTATGAAAAATCCTTTCCTTAGGATTTTTCATCCTCAGAAGCTGAGAGGCCTCAGGAACAAAATGTAAACATTGGTTATCTGCTGCTGTGGAATGCAACAGCTGGATCTTTGATTGGCCCATGTTGGTTGTTTCTGATTAATGGCCAGTCACAGCCCAGCTGGCTCGGACACAGAGTCTGAGCCACAAGCCTTTGTTATCATTCTTTCTTATTCTATTCTTAGCCAGCCATCTGATGAAATCCTTTCTTCTATTCTTTTAGTATAGTTTTAATATAATATATATCATAAAATAATAAATCAAGCCTTCTGAAACATGGAGTCAGATCCTTGTCTCTTCCCTCATCCTAAGACCCCTTTGAATACAGTCACATGAATCTTGTCTAATATCTTTATTCTTGAATAAAGCAATCCTGGAGATCCTGTCTTGTGGCAAGCTGTGTATTCTATTTGTTCAGTATTTGGTGTTTGTTTGAATTTGTGCATCTTGACCCAAACTGTTGTGTACTTGTGTGTGTGTGCACTGTTGAGTAGCATTCTGGGCTGTCCACGTGTTCAGATAAATGCGCTGAGATTTGTTCCTCCAAAAAAGAAACTTCGCCTGTCTGTGACCTTGTAGGTTGAAGTGGTGCTACAGAAATACCCGAGCCTGTTTGTTAACCCTCTCTTGCCGCTTTATTTCCTTCCCTCTTCAGATTACACGCTCACAGTGGAGGCGGTGAAATTGAAGCCATTCTTTGTAGCAGGCCACACCTTTGAGATGACGTGCAAAGTGTCCTCCAAGAACATCAAGACGCCGCGCTACTCCGTCCTCATCACGGCCGAGAAGCCCCTGACGGACCAGTCGAGTCCCAACGGGACCACTCGCATCATCTCCTTGAACCAGGACTCGGTGGTGCGGCTGGAGGACTGGACGGACCAGACCCGCGTGGACGGGGTGGTCCTGGAGAAGGTGCAGGAGAACGAGTTCCGCTACAGGATGTACCAGACCCAGATCTCGGATGCCGGGCTGTACCGCTGCGTGGTGACCGCCTGGTCTCCAGGTGGCGGGGGCATGTGGCGTGAAGCGGTCAATGGCTTGTCCAACCCTATCCAGATAGACTTCCAGACATCAGGTTGGTACAGAACCTGGCAGCCGTGTGTCTAAGCCAGAGAGAGAGGGAATTCTGTGACGCCTTCCCATTGATTTCCCTGTGTCTCAGAAATATCTACTCTTTGGAACAAATGGTATGATGGCTGAGAGCTGTGCTTGTCTTCTTTGGTGGTACTTGTGTCCTTTGTGCTATTGATTGTTTACAGAAAGATGTTTAATGAATTGGCTGTAATCATAACCCCTGGGTTTTTCTCTACTAATGCAGCTTTTATGGTCCTGCAGGCTCAGAGCTCATTCTCAGTATGGAGCAACTGCTGCTGCATTTGCCAGCTGTATCACTAGATTGTTAGTAGCGGCTGCTCTGGAAGAGCATTAATATAAACTGGATTTCTGTTCCAAAACAGACTCTATTAGCATAGCATTAAGTTTCCTGAGCACACCTCACTGTTGATGTAATTGCAGAAAATGGCCAGGTCAGGGTAACATTTCAGCCATCTCAGTAAGTGTATCCTGCCGCTGCAAAACCTTAGAGGTCCCTCGCGGCTGAGCTACAGAGCTCCACAAATTGGGAGGGATTTCAGTACCCAGAAGGACATCCTGTTCCTCAATTGCTTGCTGAAACCCTTACCTTCAGCTGTAACTAAGCCTGCCTGTTGAGACTCTTCTATAGAAACGTGCCTATCCTGATAATATGTTGGAGGGAGGGAGAGATGGATGGCATTGATTTGGATCATCAGAGATGCATATTAACTCTGACTTCTGTCATGTTATATTGTTGGGAAGTGCAGTGGGAGCTGTTTTTATAACACTGGTGCACATATGAGTGACGGGCTCCTCTCATGATTTGATAAACCAAGCTGGTGGGGTTTTGAGCTGATGGGGCTTTCATGCTCATATTCTGCTGGTAGTAACAGGCTGTAGCCTATTTAGGAGATGTGTCTGTGTCTAGGCAAGAGCAGCCTGACTTCTCAGCTGCATCCACAGCTAAGGTAATTATTCTAGATGATGTGGTTCCTAAGATCTGAACTTGCTTATATGGCACACTGGGAAAAGGACAAGGGCTGATCGTAGGAGGACAGCCTGGCAACGAAGACATCGCTTCGTAGGAAGCTTTGAGATGTAGATTTGATCTAAGCTGGCCAGACAGAGGACATTGACTCAGCTTCTTTCAGTTTTAGGTAATTTCTCAAGATGGTTTAGTGGGCTGCAGTTTTAGCCTTATTACTCTTCATATCTGGGTCAGACACAGTGGGAGAGTAGTATTTGCAAAGGGAGTGATAAAAGAAACCAGCAAGAATGAAATCTGCACAAAACCCCACCCTGCCCCTCCAAGCTCCTATGCGGAGGCTTTCCTGCACAAAAGTGGTGGTTTGTGCCTCTCCCAATATTGCTGGTCCTGTGTCACTTTGAACTCCCATCCAGAGAGTTTGTTGGGATGCTTTGACACCCAGGGTTCAGAGGGAAACCTGCGAGCAATGCGAGGGAGGGAAGCGTGCGTGTTGTAGTCTTGACTTCTCTTTGCTGCCAGCCTCTCCTCCCAGCCCCTCCACCCAGATAGGATTTCTGGAGCGTGGAGTGAAGAAAGGGAGGCAGCGTGTAGAAGTGCCCTGGGAATGTGTGAATTCCAGTAGCAGGGCTGGAGCAGGGGGAGGGATGGTCCTGAAGCCCTGTCAGCCTTTCATTCTTTACAAAAGAATGAAGAAAGAAATGAGATCCCAGGCACAATTTGCTGCAGTGCTATTTCCCAAAATAATCTTGGCATGTAGCAAAATCTGTTTTGAAATACCTGCAATTTTCTTTAATTGGTGGATGAACTTTGTGTCCTTCAGTTGTTACTCAGATATCCCTGCTGAATATTCACCTCTGGGCACAAGGAGAACATGTGATGAGCACAGTTAGAATGGACTAACTGTGGAATTATTATTTGGGAAATCATCTGGAATTAAGTATACAAGACAGAAGATGTTTTGTGGGTGTGTTACTTTGGTTTTGTGTGCTGAAACCTCCTGTCTTTGATGCAGACTGAGTCAGGGAGCCAGAGGTAAATGGCAAAGCTGTGGAGCAGCTATGAAAGCACAGCTCAGATATCACACCCTTCTCTTGCATCCTGTGGCACAAGCAGCTGTCAAACTTGTTCTTCAGAAAAAATAAGTTGGTGCCAGAATTTCCCTAATGGGCATGGTGAAAGGCAGAACTGCTGAGGGAGCTAGTTATTTGTTGGGAAAATTTCCTCAAAATTGGAGGGAAGATACTAACAGGAAAAGTGCAGGAAAAAAGAGGGGCATGCAGCTTTCCAGGCAACTGGGAAAGCAAAACAAAACAAAACCTGGGGAGCACCAGTGTGCGAAATCCTGAGTTGTAGGGAGGGTGGGGTGTGGTATCTTATGAGTGTTTGTCCGTGGTAGGAAAACTGTTAAGGAGTCAATTGCACTGATTTCTCAAAGTGTAACAGAAAGACCATTTATCTGTAACTGCTGGAGGGAATATATACAGCAGTGTAATTTTGAAAAATAGGATGTATTGCAGTCTCCTCCAAACTTTGAAATCTTGGGCTTGGGCAGCATTTTCAGCTTCCATCATGGCTGTTGGAGTGGGGAGGGGATCAATAAGGAAGCAGCATTTTCAGCAAAAGGAAGCCCTTAAAGGGTTTTACGTGAAGCTTTTAGTCCTAGGGGGAATTTCTTTCTCAGTTGTTTTTATTGATTCCCCTTTGATGGGGGATGGTGAGGCTTGCTGGGACTGGAAATCCTTCTCTCTCATTTGACTCACTCCCAGATCTCTCCGAGCTGAGTGATGTTTCAAAGAGGAGTTTTTAAGCGTGCATACACATTGTGCCATGTGATCTCTCTGAGGAGCAGAGGCCTGTGAGCTTTTCATATGTGAGCTGGGGACTGCACATGTGAAACTTCAGTGTTTCCTGCCACAATGGGCTTGAAATGTGGCAGTGCTCTGAAATGTTGTTCCATGAACATCTGTGGAAAATGTCTTGCTCAGATTCTTTCCATTCAGGGCAGAACTTGCTGGCTGCAGACAGAGATCTCCTCTCTCCTTTCTCCACTTGCTGTTGCAGAGGGGCATATTTATTCAATTTGGTAATGATCTGAAATGTTAATGTAAAGGCATTTGTTTGAAACACCCTGAACTAAAAAAAAAGGAAATGTGGATTTTGTCCACTGGGCCATATGAACTGGAGGTGGGGGGTGGGGGGGGGAGTGTGGTGGTAAGGAGGAGCCTACTACGCCATTAGTTTTCAAATATTCAATCAATGGCAGATTGTTCTCCGCTGGATATATTTTAAGACCAGAGAGGATCTTGTGAATCTTCTGGTATGACCTCATGGATAACATGGATCACTAGACCAGTTTCGTAAAACGAATGCCTTCTGTATGTCCAGCTGCTGTAAGCAAAATAAGCTTATCTGGTGGGCAGGGAAAGCTGTCCCATGTGAAGAATTTAATATTCCTCAGTGCTTTTTGTTTATCTTCCCAGTGTAGGACAGAGAGGTTCTGCCATGTCTTTTTTAAAAGGTTGCCCAGTGATGTGATGAACAAGAGCAGCTGCCAGTGCCTGTCTTGAAATGTTCTCTTAATTTCATTGCACATTTTCTACTCCAGTGCATGCTCTCTCCTCCTGAGCTATTTGTTGGTGCATGTGTACAGATCCTTCCTTTCAGCCTGGAACACACCAGTCTTCTGTCCTTGTGTTCTTCTCAAGCCAGTGTATGAAGACAGCTTCATAAACTCTGTTTTGGCATCTGTCCTTTAATCAAACCCTTTCACCATGAAACCCAGGTTGGTGTTTAGAATGTGTTTGCCCACTACACACTCTCAAGGATTTCCACACAAGTGACTTATTTTCCTTTCCCTTGAAGGAAGCAGGGAGAAGGAAGCTTTTAATCTCATGTTGAGAAGTGTGTTATGTGAGAGATCCATTTGGAGCTTGGCTGTGCTCTGAGCTGTCTCTGCTCTGTGCCATTCAGCAGAGGGTAGAAAGTTCTGGAGAGGCAAAAATAAAAGAGAACTTGTAAGGGAAATATCTCAATGAAATCTTCAACTCTGGATTACATCTGCATGTGAGCTCATTGCACAGCAATGTATTATCGTTCACTTTGGAAGAAGCTGAGATAAACCAAGAGCTGCTGAAATATGAGCTGAGTATTGATGTTGAGCTTGCAATTAAAATGAAATGATGCCCTGCAATGACCCCGAGAGATACTCAATTTCAAGAAGGGCGAATAGAAAGATTCTTAGAGGAAAGAAAGCTTAATCACGGAAATGAATGAAAAGCAGCGCAGCAGAAACTCTTTGGCAAGAAAGGCTGGTATTTTCCAGCCACTCTTAATGGGCAGGAACGTGCTTTGTCATTGTGTGCCTTTGTGCCTGTGTGCATTAATTTGTAGCTGGAAGTAGAAACCACAGACTTAACTACTGAGGGCTTCTTCCAGTAACAGCCATTATGAGGCTTGGGGCAAAGCTTGTTAGGGAACGGCTTCACGAAGAAACTGGGAAAGGGCAGGGGTCTGGAAAAGTGAAGGTGAAGAAACTTATTATCTGGAGAAAAGCAGATCATGGAATTCTCAGTTGAAGAGTGAAGGATTTGGTGCCAGGGCAGAGATGAGTAATATTTTGGACGATGCAGAGCTCGTGGGTTGCATCAGTTGTTTTCCCCGTTGTGGTCTGTGGTGCTGTCTGATTAGAAGCAGGCTAACTGTGTGCTGGAATTCCAGTCCCTGGTCAGTAATGGCCTGGGCATGGGCTTCTTGAGGGGAACAGCCTGCCCCAGGTCTCTGTTGTCATCAGGTTACTTGACCTTTCTCTTCTCTACTTGGCTGGGAAATGAAGGTAGCTCGTGTCTGGGGGGAGACTGTACCTTGTTTCTGCAGAGAAGTACAGGGTAAAATGATAATCAAAGAAGACAAAACATCACCTAGGACCCTAGATAATTAGGGCCTCTTCTGTTGCAGACTGGATTTTAACTGGCTTTTGGTTATTCTCTTTCATTTTCCCATTTTTCTTGCAGATTTAAAGTGTTCAGATTACTGAGCAGGGAAGGAAAGCAGGGAGAAAGTGGGGTGACATCAGGTAAAGAGGGCTCAGAATTTGTCTCAATCCTTAAGTTGAGTAAATTACCTCGATCAACTTGAACTCCTTGTTTCCACTCTGCAGCCCCTTCAGTGTGAATCTGATTGAGCACAAAATATTCAACAATACTTTTTCCTTTCATTTTTATGTGTAGAAGAATTAGCATAGCACTTTTTAGCTGAAAACTGTATCAATATAGTGTCTGGCTCCTGGATTTACCTTCCTGGTGACATGAAATCAACAGTTTGAGCATTGAGATCTATTATAAAAGGGAGCATTCAGAGAAAAGTACACTGAAGAAATCCTTATTCTGGAACCTGGTTTCTAAAGCACTTCTGGGTTTTTACTAGTAAACTTCTGACCTCAATTTCTTCACTTTCTGTTTAAAGTCTGTCAATTTCTAAACTTTCTGTTTAAAGTTGTGTAGTGTTTTTCAAGTGTTCAGGAGTCAAGAAATGCTCTGAAAACTCTTACCATCCTGACTGCAGATGCTTTTTAATATAAAATTGTTATTACTTTATAAAGAAGAAAACTTCTTTTAGGTGTTTTATCTAAGCTTACATAAGGCCTTATTTATAGTGAGGAGCAGATATTTTGGCTTATTTTAAATCAAAGTTCTCAGCAGAACATGGCAATTTATGATGCTTACCTCTTAGAATTGGGAGTGCTGGTTTGTTTTGTAAATCTGTGCTCTTTAGCTTCCAAATTATCTGAAGGAATGACACTTATCTTCAAATCTGAAGTTATTAAAATCCAGTTATTTCTCAGCTTTCAAGCTCATGAACAGCTTTTCAGCATTTAACTTTGCCTTGTTCTTGATGAGTTTTACAGGTCATGCTTGATCTGTCAGCCCTGCAATTGAAACTAAACTCTGGTTTGTTTATTCTCCCAAGTGACCAGTAGGTGCCAATTACAGTATTTCAAACTGTTAAATGCAGGTGGCAAAGATGGCCAAAGCCACATCATCTGTTATCTGCAGAGTTCTGTTTTTCTTGGCGTTAATGTAGCATGAACTCATATCTCACTGAAGGAGAGAGTTACTGTCACCTCCCCAGCCCTCCCAGTGACACTGCAAGTGCTTGAGCGTGACGGAGCTGAGACCCTGAGCCAGTGTCATCAGTGTCTGCTGGGAGCTGCCTGTTTTACCAATGCCTGTATCTGTAACCTTGGCACTGAGATGTTTGGCCTCTTTTTTGGGTGGTTTTTTGGGTTTTCTTTTTTTTTGTGTGTGTTTTGGGTTTTTTTTTTTGGTTTTTTTTTTTTTGGTTTGTTTTATCTTTGAGGGCAAAAACTTGAGAAAAGTGTACTTGAGTTTTGTGTTCTGAGCCTTGCTTGGCATGGTCCAGACCCAGAGCCTCTTCAACACTGGGTTGGGGGAATGGGGCACTCAGTGCCCCATTTTTTTAAGGGAGGCAATAAATCTCTGAAGGTGATTTATTCTGTCCTTTCATGCCTGAGGGCAGCCTGGGGCCCAGGGCATGGGTTATGTGGGCAGAAGACCTGAGATACAACTAAAGAATATATAACCCTAGGAAGTTGCAGCCACACAGTTTTCAAGACTGAACTGAAGAACTTTCACTGCAATTAATCTTGCTTAGGTTTTAATAAATAATTAAATGTTGTTTTCCCTCTTCAGCTGAAGAGGGAAGAACACAACCCCCAACACACCTCTTGAGTATTGATATCCAGTTCTAGCGCAGGACAGTGATTTCTCCCTGGAGGTAGAAAAGGTAATTTGCAAGAGATGTTACCTGCTAGGGAAATACCTGAAGGGAAAGAACTGTTTGTGCCTTACCAAGGGAAAGCACAATCCTGAAATGCCAATGCAGCTGATGCCTTGGAGCCTTCATGCCTGAGAAGCTTTGGCTCTCCCAGCGGAGAAGTGCTTGGTGACCCAAATTGAGGAGTGTTTTGGGAGTGCTGCATTTCCATGATCCACAGCCTTTCCTGGCTGAGTGACCAGCCAAGCTCAGCTTTTACCCTTGTGACATCCAGTGGCCAGGAATGCTCTGATTCTGCTCCGACTCTGCTCCATATCAGTGGTTTGTTGGTTTGACTCTGCTCCACATCAGTGGAGTTTGAAGGCAGTGTCTGTTCAATGCAGAAGGTACCTGGACTTTCAGCCTAGAAATAAGGCCTGAAAAGTCCCATGTGCCCTCTTGTTTAACCTGCCAGGGCAGGGGTAAGGTGGCCCATCCTTAGCCTGACAGAGTTGGAGCCATGCAGTTCATCTCTCTTGCTCAGCTCCTCCCAGCATCCAGCCTGTCTGCTGGAGCAGGGCATGTCCTGCATTCCTGATGTGATGTCACCTCACCTGCTGCAGGATGGACTGAGGATAGACTCTGAGCTATGGACAGTACCAGGATTATTATGGTGCTGTTCTGCCTTTGATCAGTGCAGCAGAGGGACTGTGCTGGGAATGCAGGGACATTCCCAGCAGATTTTGACAGTCTCTTTATTTCTTTTCTCTGACAGTTCACACACAGCTTGAGATTTTTCTGCTTTTAGTTGGCTGGAGTGCCCTGATCCATGCTGCCTTTAATCCCCTAGGACCTGGAACTTCTGTCTGCCCAACTCTGAGCAAGAGGATGGAAATGTCTTGATTTATCAAATAATCAAATAGGCTGCAAGGGGGAATATAGTTTGGTGTGCGCGTGTGAATGTCAGGAAACAAATTGAATTCACACAAAACCAGTTGAGAGAGATGCTGAGGAAGCATTCAGAGTAATCTCTGTTCATCTCCTAGGAAAAGGATCCCATCATGCTGAGCTTAAGTTAGGGCTGCAGCCTGCTTGTGCAGTCACTACCTGAGCAGCTGATCTCAGTATTCTGGGTCTCTTGTTTCCTTAAATGTGTTCTAGCATAAACACGTAGGAGTCTTGGTTGGTAATCCATGTATAACCTCTATTGCATCTCTACCACCCTTTTATCCTTGTTTGGGGGGGGTAATTTGCAGTGTTAATTTTAAGAAAGATCTTCTAGTTTCAAAATGGGTGTCAAACTCTCAGATTGTATGTCTGCATACTACCCTTGTGTGCAAAAGTGCAGCTGCTTCTGGGGCAGAGGAGAGGGCTGGTGGAAACTGGGGGAGAGGGGATTTTGAAAGCTGGAGAAGTAATTATTGCACTGTAGTTGGAATTAATTTCTTAGCGTGCTGTCTGTTTTCTGTTGACCAAAACAAGCCAGGCCCTTGTAGTCTAGAAAAGTTGCACCAAAAATTATAGCTCTAGCTTCACGATACATCCAAGTTTCTTTCCAGAACCTCAGTTTGGGAATCATGTTGTCTGTGCCATGTGGTGAGCTATCAGTGTAGAAACATGTTGAGAGGGCAAGGCACAAGTGGTTTTTTTGGATGATTTCCTGAAGTGTTCTTCATTAAAAGCATTGTTTGCCACTGATCTTCAGGGGATTTGAAATTTAGGGTTCTTGTACTAAAAGAGTAGCAGCTAAGAGTGGAGGAGAGGAAATAAACAGCTTTTTCTTTCCTCCCAAGCCACCCTTCTCTGCTTGTTGCTGCTGCTGCTGTGCTAGAAGTAAGTGAGCCAGGTAATCATGGCAGTCTAGGGAGTGTCAAAAGGGTTACTTCTTAAACTGAGCCCCAGGTTTCTTCTTTGCTTCCCTGGCTCTGTCCCCCAAAGTCATCCTGGGGGTCACTGTTGCGATCAGCTTTCCTTCTGTTCACTCCTTGGTTAGTAAGAGAAGTCACAGAGGTATTTTGTTACATTCTTCAGTTTCTGCCCTGTGAAATAGAGAGCATTAACAGTGCTGGCATATCTGAGGAGTTGTGATTTTGTTACTTTTGCGCTAGAAGATGCAGCTGTTGTCAAAATTTGGAGAAGTTTTGGGGATTTTAACCTATGTATGTCAGAAGTCTTTTAAAACATCACAGTGTTGTCATGGTATCTGAGTATTTCAAAACAGCCTAATGGTTTTCATTGATATCATCACCACTTTGCAGCTGAAGGAGTTACTGTACCCTTGGGCTTTGAGACATCTTCAGAAGAAGCTATCTGTGGCAGAGCCTGAAGGAAAACCCACAGAAAAGTATTATCAGATGCACTTCTTGTATTGTCTGTTCCAGTGTAGAACCATTGGTATTGTTAAGATACTGTTTTGCTTTAACTTGAATTCTTATTGACAGCCTCAACAAAGAGATCCATTCTGGATTAGCCTGAAGATCTGAACTCCCATGCTTTTAAAGGAGCCACTAGTGGAAGACCAGCTGCTTTTGTGCTGGAGAGCAGAAGGCAGATTTGGGCAGCAGCCTCTGTGTTGGGTGAAAGGTCTGATGGTTTAGGTACTTTGTCTTAGTACAGAATTAAATGGCTAAAAATGAAAAACTATTTTACAACAAACTTTAATGGCTGCTTGTCCCTACTTCAGAGCTCTGTCTCCACAAACTAGGGGAGGATACTTCAAAAATGTGCAAGAAAGGTGTTGGACAGTGCAGTAAAGCTTGTCATGAATAATTGCATGAATAATTGTGGTTACTCTTTTCTAGGTCCTGTGTTCAATGTCTCGGTGCACTCTGACAGCCCAACGATTTACCAGGGTGAGGTGGCAGATTTGCTGTGCATCGTCACAATGGAAGGAATGCCACTCGAGCCAGGTATTTCAGCAACATTATTTCACCCGTAACTCATTTGCCTTCAGAAGCGACAGCCCTATGTCCTTGGAGTGAGGCTGGAGAGCTGAGAACCAACAGTTCTGTAGAACTAGACAAAAGCAGGATAGTATGCTTGCTTTTACACAGCTCAATTTAAAGCAAGTGGTTTTTTCCCCTCCTGAGGGGAGAGGGAAAAAGTGTTCTTACCATCAAATCCCCCTCTGCTGTCCCCACCAACTGACCCCATTGCAGGCAATCTCAACCTGCAACCATCAGATGGGCCATGAAAACTATTCCTATTCCCTTTAAATGGAAAGGAGTTCCATTGGCTAAACCATTTAGAAGAAAATGGTCATCTGTAAAGAAATCCTAGACTCCTGGCCAGTCAGCTTCTCACTTCAGAGTGAATTTAAGGCTTAAAGTAAATCTAAAAATCATAATAATTGACTGCTGCAGCCTAAATGCCAAAATGAATGTTCATTGCCTTCAGAGTTGAGCATCCTTTTTTTATGTGGAAGAAAGAAATACAGTACCTAGTTCCTGTGGGAAGAGTAGCAGACACAAAAGCAAATTTTTATGGAGAGCTGAAAAGTTCAGAGAATTGCTCAAAACCTAGCTGCTTGCCAAGCATTGTCTGAGCTGCTTTTCATCAAAATGCTGTGAGAGTAGCTCTCTTTCTTATACCCAAAATTTGGGTTTGGAGTCAGTTGAGTCATTATGTATATGGATATAAGCATCTCTTTAAAATAAATCTACTAATATATATGTAAATATAAATATATGTGAATATATCTAAATATAAAGTTGTCATGATTTATGCCAAACTTAAAAGCCTACACATAAACCACTACAAAAGAGGTGCTGTGCAGAAAATATTACTTATGATGTAGTGGCTGATGAGATGAGGTACCAGGCTTAGTAAAGGCCCATCACTTTGAAATTACAAGATGTCTGTTCTACATTAAATCTGAGCGTGGCAGGGAAGCAATTTGCCAGATTACAGTCGTGTGCTGCCTGTGAAAAAATGATAGAAGTCTGTAGATTGTATTATTGAAATGCTTGGTAGGGAGGAAAAGCTGAGTAAACTTTATTGCTGTCAAAAGACTCACAGCCTGGGATATTGGGCACAGCAAGCAGCAACGTGTGCCTGTGCATCTACCTCAGCCTGTGCTGTGGCTTCTGCTCAGCAGGAAGCCTCTTGCACGTTGAGGTGTGCTCAAGCTCTTAGAGGTATTGTTGTGAGGCAGTACTCAGAGCAGCTGCCTTCCTTTCCAAAGCAATAATTGCTGACAGGGAGCAGCTGCTGCTTCTGCTGGTGCTCGACAGCCTAAATGAGCTCAGCGTAGCCTTGTGAAAGAGGCCTCAGCATCCCTGACTCACTTAAAACTTGAAAACTGGAACACAACAAGTTCCACCTGAATATGAGGAGGAGCTTCTTTACTGTGAGGGTGACCACACACTGGAACAGGGTGCCCAGAGATGTTGTGGAGGCTCCTTCTCTGGAGAGATTCGAAAGCCCTCAGGACAGAATCCCGTGTCGTGTGCTTGAGGATAACTCCTGAGCAGGGAGGTTGGACCAGATGACCTCCAGTGGTCCCTTCCAGCCTCAACCATGCTGTGAAAAGAGGCCACTTAGTAGCAGTGGGGCTCTCCTGTAAGAGCTTCACAGTTGGGTTTGGGATGGTTTTATGTGTATTTGGTACCTCAAGATTGGGACGAACACGGACAGTATAAGGATAATCAAAAAGGTTGAAGTAAAAAGGTGTTGCCTTTTAGGGAGCTGCTCATAGCAGCACAGTTAAGTTTGAACTTGGCAACTTCACAAGGGTTTGTGGGTGTCTGTTGAATTGATAGATGATCCCTGGAGCTGGAGATGATGCTGTTTCCAGCAGTCATGGGCAACCAGAGCAGAGTCTTAAATGTCAGCACTGTAATCTGTTCCATAGCTGGGTAATGTCATCTTGGACATGGCAGACCTCTGTGGTGGTTTTTTTATCTTGTTTCTTTCATGCTAGTGGTTTGTTTGGTTTCTTTCTTTTTCAATTTGTAATGGGGCAGATGAGGCACAGACAAGTAAACCTAGAGTGGAGTAAAATGTGGCATTGTGGCAGGCTTTGAGGGGACTTTTTAGTCCATGCTCTGAGCCTCCAGTTGCAGGATGAGCAGGATTTGGGGCCTAACCAGTCATGCTGTGTGATGAAACACAGTCCTTGCTGGTCCTCTGGATGAGGCTGGCAGAAGAACTGTAGGGAACAGCTGGAATTAATGCAGGGTGTGCAGACTTTCCTCATCCATCTCCCTTCCTGGCCTTGGGAGCTGGAGGGGGCTAATGGAGCAGGTTAGAGGAAGGGATTGAGGGCTTGTATGGTAGCAAACATGTAGTTCCTTACTGGTAGCCTTATTCCTCTGTGTCCCATTTCTGATCTGTCTTTATGCTGTGTCAGTATCACAATTTAATTCACAATTGGAATGGAGGACTTGCTTTTTAAATTAGTGCCAAATGTTAGACAGACTGTGAAAATACAGGGCTGTCTCATCCCACTGGGGACATGAGGCACGCTGTTAGGGAAAGCCTACACCTGGCATTTAGAGAAACAAGGCAAGAGTTATCAGCATCTTCTGGAAGAAAACAGATGACTGCAGTACAGACATGGTCATTCCATTTGGGAATGTGATGAGAAAGGAGAAAAGAGCAAATGCATTTGACTCCCTTCTGAGGGGTGTGGCAGCTTTCAAGGCCATCTGTGCTTCTTGTGTCAGACCTGCTGCAGGGCTGTGGTGTGGGATCCCCTGTGAGCAGAGGAGGAGCAGGATGTTTCCTAAGATATCCTGTTAGATGCACATCCTTTGGATGTATTTGGTATGCCAGCCAGCTCTGCTCTTGTGCACACTCAACTTTGCAGGCATGCATGTGCATTAGTATGTATGCCTCCTGTAGTACATTGGTGTCAGGGGCCACCTCTTCTCCCTCTCTGTATGCACAGTTAGAAAAATAAAGTACTTCCAAGGAGCTGAAGAAAAGCTAAATGACCAGTTGTTTGTCAGTGCCATTTGTTAGTTAGATTGATCCTTTTTTTTTATTTTTTATTCTAGAGGCATCACTTATGGTTTGAACCTTTTTCTGGTGGAGGCAGCTCACAATGCTTTCAGTGTGTGTTTGTGTGTATCCACCCTGTGGGAAATTTTCAAAGGGTAGAAAAGGTTTTGGCGTGACTGCTACATGCTTTAATTTCCTCTGCTTCTTTGAGACCCTGCTGAAATTGAGTGTGTGTTACTAAGCCCAGTACATGGCAGCAACTGCTCCTCTAAAGAAGTGCTCCTTTGCTTTGGCAGCAGTGGTTGGTGTTTTGAATTGGTACGAGGGGAATATGTGTGTGTGTCAGTGGGGAATAGTAGTTCTTCTGTGCCCTGAAGATATAAAAGCTGCTTCTGATACTTCTGTTGAATACACATTTTCACAAATGATCTCTCTAGACTTCCCAGATCACCCATTCTTGGGCTGTGTGCTTAGGGATTTAAAAGTATTACTTACTGTGTCTGAAAGGAGATGTGGGGTTTTTTTATCTGCTCCAGCCAGACCCAATGGGCACTCTGGAGAATTTAACAAAACCAGCTTGTTTACCCCTTATATGGCTTGAAGTGGTTTGCTCAGCTCTCTAGGAAGCCCTATTCAACCTCATTTAAATGTAGTAAACAAAAAGGGTCTCAAAATTGTGATTCAACACTGTAACAGGATGTTGAGAGAGCTCCATTCTAAGCAGTGGAAGTGTATGGTTCCTAAGAAGCTGCTCTAGAAATAGGATTCCCTCTTTTGAGGGGTGATTGGTCAGGGAAGTAGCTAAGACCCAGACAGCTTAGCCCTGTGTGTCAAATCGAAATGTGCCTAAAGATGTGCTTTACATGTTGATGATCCTCACTGGCTGAGGAGGGGAGGAAGCACAGCAGCACTGCTAACTCTGCTCCCAGAGCTCTCAAGGGCAGCTCCCAGTGCTCTCTGTTCCTTTAGAGGGTGCATGTCCTGGTGGCACTGAGGTCCTTGATGGCCTTGTGGGCACTGGGGTGTGACGCTTCACTGTGGGGCAGCTTGGCCAGGTGTTCCACACTACTAACTGTGGCACAGAGCCAGGAAAAGAAACCTTTGGTGAGTGGGAGCGTGGTTCTTGAAGTGGAGTTTTTGTACATTTGGGTCAAAAATTGAGAATGGCTCGTCAACATCAATGCAAGGTGTGTGGAATGAGGCAGATGCCTAGTGTGTGACCTGTTTTATGTCAGTGAATCTACATATTTATTAGCACTTGGGAGCTGCTAGGTATGTTCATCTCTGATATTTAGAGAGCACCTGATTTATGTCCTGGCTTTGCTATATTTGTCTGTGTTTTTATTGCATGAAACCCAGAGATAGAGAGAAATGAATCAGATGACTTTGCTGTATTAAGCTATTTCAAGGAGGATAGTGACAGAGTGCTCGGAGCCAAAGCCTCCCTCTGACTGTCTGTAGTGAGTCACTAATTGCAAACTGTATACTGGCTAATAAAATATGTTGGCATAATAATGTTGTCCCACGTTGTAATTACAGAAGATAGATTCAAATATTTCAAAATGACAGCAAGTGCCTGTACTCATGTGAAGGGACAGGAACCTCAAATTATCTGAGATGCAAAAGAAGGAATTCTTCAAAGCTGCCTGAGGATCTGAAGATTAGATTATTATTATTATCTTTTAATATCTAAATTTATTGCTTGAGGAAGGTCAATGGTGTGTTAAGTATAATTCACTTAGCCTGAAAGGTGTCCATATGCTCCTACAGCACCTGGAAACACAAAAGCAAGCGTCAGTCTTGGATCTTTGGAAGAAATTGGTCATTCCCAACGTGCTGCCTGTGGACCAGTGCTATTACTATATTTGGCATAAACAGACAGCAGGGATGAAGAGTGGTTTCTATAAACAGAGCTCTCTCCAGCAGAGGCCCTGTGTCCCATAGACATTTGGATGAGTGCACACAGCAGAGGTCAAAGTTTGGTCTCTTTGACTGAACATGTGTTTATGGTAATTTTTATTAACTTTGGTTTCAAGGGAAGTGGTCCAAGTGCTTTGCCAAGTAACTCCTGTAGCATTTGCAGGATGAGAGGCAAGAGGGATTGCTCTGAGGGCTGCTGCTCCATGTGACCTATGCTGAACCCCGTGTAGGGCTGGGACACGTGCCCCAGCTGCAGAGCAGGCCAGGTGCTCTCCCGAGGTTCTGTGCATTGCCCAGAGCACCAGGCTGGGGCAGGCAGCCAGGAAACTGGCTGGTGTCCCAAAACAGTTTGGTCAGACACTGCCTCTCCTAGGAACGTGTGCTTTCTCATATTTTTGTTTTGTTTCTGTAGGTATGTGTAAAACCAGTGCACCTTAGGAAGGAATTAATTATACTCAAACACTGGTTTGTTTGGCTTTTTTTCTGCAGTAAGGAGGAATGTCCCGCATGGCCAGCTGATGATATACTTTAGGTAAAAGAGCTGAGACTGTCCCTTTTCTTCCTTTTACTTTAAAATATGGAAGTTCCCTTCTTTTCCAAAGTGCTAGCTTGCCTGATAGACTTAAAAATCATCTTCACTTAGATCTGTAAACAATACAGCAGGCTTAGGGCTTCCATTAGCCTGAAGGTCAAATGTAAAAGTTTAAGAGAAAAAAAACTCATTTAGCCAAAAGATCAGTTTCAAATTTCAGATTGCTGGTACTGTATTTTTCAGAGCTCTCAATACTAGAAAATGGAGGTTTGATACATTGCCAAAAATCACTGGGACTGCCTTAGGTGTGCACACACTGTATCAGTACTCCAAACTCAGGACAGAAATAGTAACTTCTGTTTCCACTTTGTGTCCATGGGTTTGCTGATGTGCCAGGGAGGAGGACCTGTGAGGAAACAGGTGAGCAGGCTTTCCTGCCTGTGCTGTGGGTCATGCCAGGTTTCAGACTCTGACAGGTGTTGCTGGGCTCGTGATAGCAAAGAATAGTGGTGATTTTGAAAGTAGATACTCAGCTACATCTGCCTAATAGGCTTAGGACTGAGATTTGCTAATGAGATCAATAGGACCTTGCATGAACGCACAGCGAGCTGGGTGTGCTGATGGACTCTGACTGCGGGGCAGCTGTGTCAAAAGTGTAAGTTCCTGCAAATCCATATTATAGACTGTGTCTTTGGGTGGTGAAACTTGCACAAGGCATCATGTCTGATGTGTCACAGTAACCCACAACTCTGGGAAAAGTGTATAAAAGCAGCATGGTCAGGCTTTGCTCCTGATTGTTTTGTACTGTTGCAGGTAATTTTTTGTGCACTGTGCAGAATATGTATTCATTTAGGCAAAATCTAAATGTAAGGAAGGGGCCTTCAGGATAGAGTCTTCTGATCTTGAGTGCTTGTGTAAGGCCCTCATGAAGACAGTGACTGCAAATCACTCTCTGCTAGCAAATATCTAGCACTCCCACTCCCTTTCACTATAGATGCAGTATAACTGTAGAACTTCTTATGATATTAAGCCTGCTTGGTAAAAACTTAGATCAGAGTTTAATACAAATATCAGAATAGCAGGCAGAAAGGCAAGAAATCACTTTAGTGTCATCCCTGTGGTAAGTCACCCTTTCTGTACAACTCCATTCTTCCTGTCAATGCATTTCATTGCAGTTCACTGCTTGAATCTTCCTAGAAAGGACATGTTCGGGGGACTGTCTCTTTTTCTTTCTGTTTTCTTTTTTTTTTTTTTTCCCCTCTGCTGTCAGAGCAGTGCTGGCCGTGCTGCTTACAAATTAACCTTTCTGCTGAGAAATGGCACTGTGGATGCTTTTCAGGGCTCACCAGCACACCTGAACTCTTCTTTGTCCCCACACACAGATGACATGTCCTTTGATGTCTCCTGGTTTGCCGTGCGCTCCTTTGCCCTGGACAGAGAGCCCATCTTGCTGGCCTCTCTGGACAGGAGGGGGATTGTGACCCAGGGCAGGAGGAACGGGAGCAGCGAGCTGAGCCTGGAGAGGATCAGCCCTCTGGAATTCCGGCTGCGCGTGTACGGCTGCGAGGACCACGACTTTGGGAACCACTACTGCCTGGTGACCCCCTGGGTGCGGTCTGCCACCGGCGTGTGGCAGCGGGAGCCCGACATCAGAGCCAAACCCATCTTCCTCTCTGTGAAAATGGATGGTGAGACACTGAAACACTTAGGTTTTAACACCTTATTATGTCCATTTGTGGCAAACATCCCCCATAACTGCTTTTAAAGGTGCCTCATTAGATTTTGTCTTTTTTTTTTTTTTTTTTATGGTCAGCAATTTCTGATTCAAGATTCTTCAGAGGAGAAGAATCTGTTCTGCCTAAACAGTTGATAGATACAAGACTGAAGCATTTTCTTTCCTGATCACCTCTTGGTGATGTTTTCCATAGCTGAGGCATCTTCTAGTCAAGGGCACAGCATTCTGTCCAAGTGTTAACCCTTCTGCTGCCTGCTGGAGGAGGCCTTGGTTTGCAGATGGGCTGTGTGAATTAGTCACATTGTGGTTAGTGTCAAAGCTGAGAAGAGAAAAATCAGACCTCTGCCTCTTTCCTCCCTCTCTGATGACAAGACATGTTGCTCCCTGCACTTTATGCCTTGTCTGCTTTCCACCCAGAGTTGCAAGTGTTGCTAGACTTCATGGGCAGGAAGTTGCACACTAGATACTGCACTCAGAATTCAGCTAAGGAGTAAAATGAATACAGGAGGGGTTTTGAACTAGTTGCTTTCTTGATATTTCTAGGAGAGGTCATTTTTGGAAGTTCCATGAACTTGAAATGAACAAGAAGCTTTTGTTCTCCCCACTGTGCTGATAACTATTATAACTGTACTTTCCAAACCCCTTTCAGTTCTTACTGCCTTTTAACTGAACAGTAGGTACTTCAAAATCTCTTTTTTTTTTTTTTTTTTTTTGTTTAGGCACTAGCTTTGAAGGTTGATTAGATAGGGTAAATATATAGTAATTCTAATAATTCAAAGCACAGAGGAGTCCACTCCTTGCTTTTTGGAAATTACAAAGAATGCAGCCACACTCTTCCTCTGATGGGGAAACAATCCAATATTTTGTTTGGAGAAATGCGTGAGAGGATAATTTTTGAAATAAACTCTACTTGGCTGTCTTACTCCAGGGCTCTTCTGGTGCTTCCAGCCTCTTCAAGGCTTTGAAATTATAGAGGAAGAATTAGGGTGAAGAGGAAAGGGAGAGACTAAAAGACCAATTTTTCAAACCTGGGAAGATGAAAATCAAGAAGGAAAATTAGCGTAATTTCTTTCTGAAATAATTAATCTGTCCCTGAGTGAATAATGTGGAATTCTCTCCTTTTTCAGTCAAGCAGAAATAAAGGGGATGTCTGAGTTTCTCAGCGATATCTAATGGCTCTGCCTTCCTTTTTTCAGTTCTGAATGCTTTCAAGTACCCCCTGTTGATCGGCATCGGCCTGGCCACAGCCATTGGACTCCTATCCTGCCTTATTGGCTACTGCAGCTCCCGCTGGTGCTGCAAGAAGGAGGTGCAGGAAACGCGGCGCGAGCGGCGCCGGCTCATGTCGATGGAGATGGACTGAGCACCCAGCTGGGCACACTGCATTTCAGGAGAGACTCACAGGGCTCCTGGACTGTGCTGAGACACTTGCTCACAGGCCCAGACAAGACAGTGCGTTTGCTCTCTGGTTTCAGCCTGGACCTCAGCTTCTCCTTGTTACACATCATGTCCTGAGAACAATCAGGCCATATTTAGCAACTTGGGAGTTCTCCTTTTCCAGCAGCACTTTCTGCATAGGGATCATGTCCTTCTAATGTGCAAACTGTTGAGCCTTCTTTCAGCAGGGCCCTGTGACAAAATTCATTAATGTTTTGTTTGTTGGTTCATTGGTTTTTTTCCCCCCCTCGTGGTTTTGGAAAGATGTCCCTGTATGAAGGCAAGGTGGGCAGGATGATGAATGGGAAAGAGGCTGGTAAGTGTTAGACTTTCACTGTATTAACCAATCTACCTTTCCCCTCTGTCCCCATCACACCATCCTGTTCCCTTTCTCTTTCCACCTTGGTATCTCAGAGACTTCTCTGTGTTGGGTTGAAGGCTGGGGAAGGTTCCTGTACTGGAGCCATCATGAGGCTGTTCCAGCAAAGAATTGTTTTATGGTTGTCAGCATGCCTTCTCTTCCTTGGCTTTCCAAGAGATTGCAGTTAATCCTGACACGTACCTTGCCTGGTGGAGGTCTTTGAAGCACTTTTTTTAAACCTTTTATTTTCAGTGCTCAAATCTCTTAGCTATGGTGAGTAGGAACTAACTTGAAGAGTTGATTCTCAGACAAGCATTTGTTGGATGTCTGCCTATGGCCACCTTCTCCCACACCCTTCCACCTTCTCTTCTCCCCACTACAGCTGCTCACATCGTGCCTGAGACCCTGTTCTGCTTGTGGCAGGGGGGCACGTGGTATCTAGGGACAAGGCTCAGCCTTCTGCTGGCCTCAGCAGGGAGGTTGGACACCTTGCTCCCCAGGTGATGGTGTGACCTATGAAAATAGGGGTCTTCATCTGCAGTTGGCCAACTGATCATGTTTAGAGACTCGTAAACTATGTATTACCAAATGCACAGACCAGACTTCAGTGCTGCTTCTGCCAGTCACTCACTGGTAACCCTCAAACCTGTGAGCAGAATCTGAGATCTGCAGTAGCTGCAGTGCAGCTCAGGATAGGAATAAGAGCAAGCCCAAGAGGGCAGCAAGAATCCTTCAGGCTCCAAGGGCCCTGGTCTTGAGCATGAGCCTTTCAGCAGGGCTTTCCCCCTGGGCTTGAGACCTATGCCTCGGTGCTATAGTATGGAACTCCTGCTTTGGTCTTCCAAATACACTGACCTGGCTCCTGAGAGGAAGCAGCATCTTTGCCAGGCAGTTCTGTCTTCCCAGCACGGCTGGTGTTCTAAGCAATAAGGGTCAGAATAAAGATACTGTGTACAAACCAACGAGGAAGTAGGACTTCACCACAGTCTGATGTCACAGCCGTGGTTTGGCTTGCATCAAGAAGGGTGAGAAATGCAGAGGTGAGGCCAGGGCTCAATCCTTACCATGGCTTTTAAAAGGTGGTAAAGAAGAACATCCACGGAAGGTAGTGGCTGTGGTGTGCTGTTGCCTGATTAGACATTAGTTATGTCTTAGACAATCTGCTTCTCTAATAGCTCATCCCACTGCGTATTCCAGGGGAGCTGCAGGTCTGGTATCTGGCCTATGAAGGCTTTTTGTGCTAAGTTTTCTTAGTGTGGATTGTTTTTTTCTGTCTTGCATTGTGACCTTTGTTCTGAGGCCGATGTGAAGGGATTTTCCAGAAGGCTGCTCTGTGTCCTGTGTGTGAACATGCATGCAGTCACATCTGTATGCTTAGAGGTGTCCAGGGATTTTTGAAAGATGAGTATGAAACATCTTCAAAATGGCCTTAATTTGCAGAGTTGGGGCTTGCAAGTTGTTACTTAAGACATTTCATGTAGTATTCCAAAACTGGGACCCCCAGACCTATGAACCTCTGAAAGGTTTTGTCCTGAAGGTACATAGCAAGTTTTCTTTCTGGCCTGATGTTTTTCTTTCTGGAAGAGCTCTGAAAAGACCTCTGTTGCAGGCAGACTTAGCTGCCTTTCCTAAAGAACAGGGCAGAAGCAGTCTCCAGCTTCCACTGTGAAAGCCCAGAAATCTGTAGCAATGCTTTCCAAAGGAAGGGAGTTGAGGAAAGGATTCACTCAGATACTACTTTGACAGCAAGAATTTTTCTTCCTCTCCTGTCTCTACTGTCGTGAAATCTTGCTTTTTCCTGGGATGTTATGAAACACTATTCTGATGTTTGGGATGCTGGCTGATCTAGCGGATTCTTTCCTGCATTAACATCTGCTTTCTTCTCAGAAGGTTGTGGCACTGGGGCATCTTGGGAGGGGTGGAAGTGGTGGTGAAGTTCTAAGCACAGCATCAGTCACTTTTTGTCCTGGCAGACTGACTCCTTGTCTATCTATGCCCTTGGTTAAGTTTTAGGGGGAGAGGATCGTGACCGTAATGCAATAATTAGGGAATGGATGAGCAGGGCAATAATTAGGGAATGGATGAGCCAGCTCTTCCCAAACACACAATATAGCACACTTCCTCCCTGCTGGAAAAAAACTCAGGGTTATTTTGGTCAGGGCTCCCTTCTTCTCTAGTGAAAGGTCCCCGTGTCCTTAGCTAATGCTGTCCTTCCTCCACAGCCCATAAAAACCAACTTTGTCACTCCAAGTGAAGGAAGCTTTGCCACTAGCTTGTACTGCTGACAGCCCCTTGGAAGGCAATGCTGCATCCCATCCCACCCTGTATTTGCTGTAGTTGGAAGGCTAGAAGCTGATGGGCTAGACCTAGCCCCCAGGTTTCCTTCTACTTGTGCCAATTTTGTATTATCCCCTTTTTTAAAAATAGAGTGTGAATCTTCTCTCTAAGGGAAAAAAAAATCTAGGTCACTTTTCATGTTTTTTATTGTTATTATTATTATTATTATTATTTTGTGTGTGACCAGGGTTTGTGTGAGTGGAGGTGTGTGTGCATCTGGTTGTGTATTAAACCTGCAGAGTGTCAGAAGAGTAAGCTGCCTGTGGTGCAGTACAAGCATCCATATCCTCCCTGCTGCAACCTGTGGTATTGTCAAAGTATCCTAAGGGCTCACATTGATCTTCCTCTGTTTGCATTGCCATGTCTCCTGGTTAAGCTGGTAAATTCCTCCAGGCACTTGGAATTCCGATCCAGGGCAACCTTGAACATCATACAGCAGAAGGGCAAGATATTTTCTTTCTTTTGTTTTAATTTCAAAATTATAAAATAAAGTTTTGGGCACAATTCTGGAATGCAGGTACCGAATAGTTCTAACAATGCCGTGTAAAATGTTTCTTTTTATGTTTAAAATAAAGATTATGTCCTTTTTGATTATGTCTGTGCTGTGGGTCTGGATGTTTGAGCTAGGGGGCAGTTCTTTCCTTGTTCCCTGCATGTATGCAGACACTATTGTTGAAGGTATAAAATGTAAACCTCACAGTCCTGTTTCCAGCAGTGTTTACCCTGTAAAATAAGCAGGAACCTATTTTTACAGTAAGTTTTAAATATTTGCCTACATTTCTGGGATGAATTGGGAAGCATAATTATTTTCTGAGTCTATTGTGTTTCTACCCCACTGTAAGTCACCCTTTTTGTTGGAAGAGTTTTATTTTGATTAGCTAAGGACAAGAGTCACAGTTGGGAGTGTATATTTAATATCTGCTGTAAAACCTGGTGTTAGATGTTGAGTCTTCCTTGACCCCTTCACGAGGCTTCTCATTTCCAGAATACCAGGAGGAAAATCAATAGTGTTGGAAGAAAACTTCATGCTTTCTTTGCCAATGGCTGAGTTTGGGATGTTTTTTTACCCCCAGCAACCATGCAAAGACACTGAAATCATACAGCAAGGAGGTGACTTGCTGTCACGGTTTGATCCCAGCTGGCAGCCAAGCCCCACACAGCCCCCCACTTGCTCACTCCCCCACTAGTGGGATGGAGGAGAGAATTGGAAGGGTAAAAGTGAGAAAAATACATGTGTTGAGATATAGACAGTTTAATAGGGAAAGAAAAAGCCATAGATGGAAACAAAGGAATTCATTCCCTGTTTCCCCTGGGCAGGCAGGTGCTCAGCCATCCCCAGGAGAGCAGGGCTCTGTCATACGTAGCAGTGACTTGGGAAGGCAAACACCTGTGTTCTGCATGTTCCCCCTTCCTCCTCCTCCCCCCACCACTTTTATATGCCCAGCATGGCACTGTCTGCTCTGGGATACCCCTGGGGTAACTTGGGGTCACCTGTCCTGGCTGTGTCCCCTCCCACCCTCTTGTGCTCCCACTTGCTGCTGGGGTGGGGAGAGAGGCAGAAAAGGCCTTGGCTCTGTGCAGGCTCTGCCCAGCAGTAAGGAAAATATCCCTGCATTATCAGCACTGCTTCCAGCACAAATCCAAAACACTGCCCCATGCTGGATACTGTGAAGAAAATGAACTTTATTCCAGCCAAAAGCAGCACATGTCCTTTCCAGCAGGAAGTTGTTTGAGGCAGCAGTGGTTTTGGGAGGCCAAGGCAGGCTTTGGCAAGGTGAGTTTGTGTTCAGAGTGGTGTGTGCTGTGTCTGACAGGCTGCAGTGCCGGCCAGGTGACAGCAAAGTGTGTACCTTTGGCTTCTTTCTAGATGGAAAGGTGTGCTCTGCAGAGTCTGCTTGCAGGAAGCTGGGAGGTGGCACCAAGCTCTAAATCCTTAAGGAGCAGCAGGAGCCATCAGCCGAGATGTAGGAATGTCACAAATGGTCCCTCAGCAGAGCCTCTGACACAGGGACAGCAGGAAGGAGTGGTGTGCTCGTGGGACAGCAGTCCTTGGCCTCGAGCTGTGCAGGTTACAGCTCACAGGTAAGTTTGGATGAGCTTTTATGGAATTCACTTGCCTCCCCCACCCCCTGGGATGACCTGGGTCTTAATACCATTGTTGTAAACGTGCTTGGATTTTGTTATAAGAAGGAAAGCTGAAAAATATAAGTCTGGAAATGCAAGGGGGT